AAAAAAAAAAAAAAAAAAAAAAAAAAAGAAACAACTAGGGCCAGGGGTTTAGCTCAGTGGTTCTGCCACCTGCCTTGCAAATGCAAGGACCCGAGTTCGATCCTTGGTACCAAAAAGAAAAAAAGAAATAACTATACACACAGCCCACTTTCTACTAATATTTATGATTTTCCTAATTTGAAAACATCATGACCAAATTAAAGGCTTTGCTGAATGTTTGGGTTGCAAGATTTTGCTCATTCACAACTTACCTATACCATATTATCTCCATTTTAACAGGATGAAGGAGACATCAATAAATATTTATGTAAACATAACTCTTAATGCATACATTTTAGGTCTATAAAAGAAATCTAGGGAAACTTGTTAAAGTGTTAAAATATATAATTTGATTTAATTTTATATATTTTAGCTCATTCTACATTATCATTAACAGGATTTTTTGGATTTGTTTTGAGCCCAGGGCCTTCACACTGACCTACCTTTTCAGGCTTTTTCTCATTTTTTTTTTCTTTTGAGAGAGAGCCTTAGAGTCACTAAATTACACAAGCTGGACTTGAACTTCAAATCAGCCTCCAAGAGCGCTGCAAATACAGGCATTTGCTACCATGCCCAGCTGTATCATGATTCTTAAGAATTAAAAGATTTTTAGGATCAATTTACCTCAGTCCTCCATAAAGAGTGTCAGGAGTAAGTTGCTTAATAAAAGATTTAATTTGAGCAACCAAATTTAAAGCAAAAATACTTTTTTCCTTTATAAATAAAAAACATTACCAATACACTATATGGCAAAGCTGTAATTCTAATATACCATTAGGTTTACATAAGTGTAAGTTTTATAATTCGGCATGAAGGAGCAGTTCCTCATATGTAAATGTTTCTCATTTTCAACATACACAAAAATGCCTGCAGAACTAAGAACACTAAGTTTTATTCTCAGAAAAGTCTGATGTTTGATAAACTTGCTTAGTAGGAAAAGAATCAAAATCACGTTGAGCCACTCAGAATCTCTGAATATTAATCCTGTAGAAAATAGAAAATAAGCTAATGGAAACTACAAAGTAAGTTTTTGCAACAGACATCAAAATCATCTAAGAATATCTGGAGACATTCATATAATAATTATCTGAATTTCATTAATATTGAAAATTATATAAAATTCAAGGTACATTGCCTAATTTTTTTTTTTTGTACCAGAGACTGAACTCGGGTCCTTGCACTTTCAAGGCAGGCGGAGGAACAACTGAGCATAATCCCTGGCCCCCTGAATTTTTTTAATAAAATCAAAATTGGCCTATAACTTCTGAGTCACCATATACTAGAAAAGTTTTAACTGGATTGGTGGTGGGCATATATTCTTATGCAACAGGTCTGGTGAACCTGAAAGTATTAATAAGGAGCTTACCATGTACCTAATGGGGTATAGGCACCCTATTCGCCACCCAGGGAGTTTCTACTAGAAAAATGAATCTAGTACTTGCTAATATTTATATGAGATTTTGCTATTATATGATTAGGTAGGCCCAGAAGACGTATAAGGCAAAGGTCAGCACACTTTCTTTAAAGGGCCACAGTGTATTTTTGGCTCTGCAAGACATAAAATTTTTTGCAACTACTGAACTTTGTGCTTTAACATAAAGACAGTCATAAACAAGATGTGAATGAAGCCAGGTGTGGTGGTGCATGCCTGTAATCCCAGCACTTAGGAGGCAGAGGCAGGAGGATCACTAAATTCGATACCAGCCTGGGCTACAGAGTGAGTTCCAGGTCAGTATCAACTACATAGTGAGACTCTGTCTCAAAAATGCAAAAAAGAAAGAAGAAGAAGAAGAAAGAAGAAGAAGAAGAGGAAGAGGAAGAGGAAGAGGAAGAGGAAGAGGAAGAGGGAGGAAGAGGAAGAGTGAAGAAGAAGAAGAAGAAGAAGAAGAAGAAGAAGAAGAAGAAGAAGAAGAAGAAGAAGAAGAAGAAGAAGATATGAATGAATAAGTATGGCTGTGTTCTAATAAAATTTAATTAACAGAAATAAGAGGCAGGCATGATTTGGACCATAGGCTGTAGTTTACCAAATTCTTGATGTCCGAGATTTTTGGGGACCAAGCTTAACTTTCTAATTTGAAGAGTAAAAGTGTAAATAAGGCTCAAATTGTATAATTAATAATGTGAAATAGGAAAAAAAGGGGCTAAAGGGGAAGGGAAAAGCAGAAGGAAAAAGGAAAAAATGGAAACAAAGTCTTTGTAAATAGGGTAGGGTGGAGGGGGTGAAGGGAGGGCAAAGGTATGGGGAAAAATAAGAACCAAGAGACTTCATGTAAAGATACAAGATCCCAATGATGAATGTAACTGTACTGTATGCCTAAAAAGTACCAATAAGCTTAATGTAGAAATAATAATAAACATCTCAATTGAGGGCTCAAAAGTTTCCCTATAAGCAGAAAATTATTAAAAGCCTCATCATCCATAATTTGTGATTTTCAAACACCTGGTATCTGCAAACATTTGTAAATATTGTATCCTGAAGTAATGTAAAATTAAACTTACTCTTTGGGTAGTATATAATGGCTTTTTCTTCTTCTCAACTGTATAAAGACTGATTTCCATGTCACCTTTTGCAATTCGACATTCTTCCTGTAACCTAATTAAAATAATATTGAAAGTTGAACAAATAGAAAATCATTAAAACTGAAATTAACAGTTGAAAAGAAAGCAAAGCAAAATTGCTTTCAAATATAAAATTTGCCATTTTAACCATTTAGGTGTATACTTTATGACAATTAAATTCATAATGTTGTGAAACCATTAATACTCAATTTCCAAACATTTTTCCTGGCTCCAAATATAAACTTTATAACCATTAAGCAATGACTTCCCATTTTTCCCTATTTCTTCTAGTCTGACAATCTCTAAACTATGATCTGTCTATGGAATTTGCTTAGTCTAGATACTTTATGTAGGAGGAATAATATAACATTTGTGCTTTAAATGTTTGACTTCTTCCATTTAGCATGATTTTTGTATGCTGATTCATGTTACAGCAGGTCCCATAACTTCTTATTTTTATGGTTAAATAACATTCCATTGTATGGAAATACCATATTTTGTTTATCCATTCATCTGCTGAAGGACACCTGAGATATTTACACTGACTATTATTCATAATGTTGAAATGAACACAGGCATATGAGTATGTATTTGAGTCCCTGCTTTCAATTCTACTTTTAAAGCTCTGGGTACAGAATTACTTCTAATTTCTCTACTGTCAGAGGTTAGCACTCAGTTCATAGATTAGCTATATCTCCTTTTTTTCTTATTATTACTACCTAATTATGACAGAAAGATGAAAGAAAAAATAAAGCTAAATGGAATTTCCCTACTTGGCTGTCTGCTAAAAGGCTTCATTAGGGAGACATATGCCGGAAATGTATTATTCATATTTATTGTCTTTCTCTTTTCTAAATCCCTTTCAAATTGTTGAAGTTTTTCTAAGATTGATATTATAATAAATGTTATGGCTTTAAAATAATAATAGGGATTCCAGGTTTACAATTCATCTAATGAAATCCTTTTCTCCAATGAAGTCTATTTCTAAATACTTTCTAATCACTAGGGTCTAGCATCTACCAGTACTGCACTCCCAAACATTTCAATATCCAGGACACTTGGAGACACCACTGAATAAATTCATGGAAATTCTGCTTTGCATTCTCAATATTCCTCAAAGCATTTAGCAATATGAAAAAAGTATGCATGACTCAGATTTTAAAAACTAAGTTATTAGACTAATATAATTTACTTATTGAAAATAGAACTTTGAATCTTCTTATAGGTATTACCCTATAAACTCACCTACTAACTCCATTATTTAATTCATTGACCACCACTCTTCTGCTCCATGCCATGAGATCTCGTTCAGTGGCTATTTGGCTACGAGGAGCATTGTTGTGCATTTGCCGAACACCTTCAATTTGACCACTACGTCGCAGCCCAATATTTGGGGATGACATGTCCATATTTGGACTTCTCAGAGCTAAAACAAAAACAAGGAAAAAGAGAACTTTCTGAGCAAAGGAATCTGTTTTACGCCAGAGTTGTAAATACAATAGGGGAGATTCAGAGATAGGATTGTTGGAAGAACTGCTGTACATCTGTTTTGTTATCTCTATCTGTTTCTGTTATCTCTATGTCATTTAATGTATTATGAATAAAGCAATCAATAAATACTTAAAGTTTCTATAGTTCTTTTAACTTATCAGGCAACAAGCATTTATTTGTACATCTTCCATAAATATGACAGTCACTTGGATGAGTGCTAGAGGTATAATGATGAATAAAAAAGGGTCCCAATTTTGGAAAAAAGTGGAAAACTCAAAGGCACATATAGAGGAACTATTCAAAAGTGACTGATTAAATTCCCCAAATTAACTTAAAATGAAACCAAATAGGAAACAAGTTGAAAGACAGAATGAGTTTCCGTTATAAATTCCACCAAAATGTATTCCAAAATACTGTTCTTCCCAGGAAAGTTTCACTATTGACAAAGTAGTTATAGTTGCTTTCAGAAATTCTCTACCAAATAGGTAACAGATCTCACTCCTGTTTTTGCTAAACAAGATCTCAAAATAGTGAGGACACTTCAATTTATGGATTTTGATGACAAATTAGAAAAGAGTAGTCATTGATTCTAGTTGAATACTTACATATTTCTATTAGTACATGTTAGTATTACTGAATTGTGGGGTTTTTTACCCTTTTTAAATTGTGCAGATTTATGAGTTTCATTTTGGCAGAGCCAAACACAAACATAAAATTTTTATGTGCCTGATTGGTGGGGCTTGTATATACATTTAACATATGTTGATCATTCAATCCCAATACCTCCCCCACCACTTATCACCTTCCTCATATCCAAAACTCTACTTCCCAGTCTCCTCTCATCTCTAGTTTTTATGTATGCATGTATGAATATATGTATATTTTAGATTTTTCATAAATGGAAAATGTGATATTTAACTTTCTGACTTTGGTTTGTTTCACTTTACATGATCATTTACAATATTAGTCATTTTCCTGCAAATAGTATTACTTCATTCTCTTTTATAGTGTACCTGAGTAATATTCCATTGTGTGTATATATACCAAATTTTCTTTGGCAAATTTATATCTTCGTGGATATCTAGGCTATTTCTATAGTTCAGTTACTATGAAATGCACAGCCATAAACATGAGTGTGCATGTATCACTAGAGTGTGCAGTCTTTAATTTTTTCAGAACAGGTGGAGCAAATGGTTCCCCGTGTTTATTTTTTCTAAAAGGACTGAACTCAGAACCATGCATTTGCAAGGCAGGTGGTGGCACCACTGGGCAAAATCCCCAGCCTTCCATGTGTTTATTTTTTGAAGAATTTCCATACTGATTTTCACAGTGGCTATACTAGTTTACACTCCCACCAACAATCTAAGAGGGATCTCCTGCTCCCCCAATGCTGGCAAGCATGCATTGCTTTTTCTATGCTTGTTGATAGCAATTTTGATGGAGGTAATTTGGAGCATCAAAGTAGTTTTGATTTGCATATTTCTGTTGGCGAGACATTGGACATTTTTTTCAGACTCTTGGCCATTTGTACTTTGTGTGTGTGTTTTTGCGTGCATGTGTGTGTATGCAATAACATACTAAGGATTTAATCCAGGGCCTTCACACTGGACTGTATCCCCAGAGGTATTTTGAGACAGGATCTAGCTAAATCACTAATATGCCTAGACTAGGCTCAATCATGTCATTCTCCTGCATCAGCCTCTGAGAGTGATGGGATTACAGGCTTGCAACACCATGTTCAACTTTATCAGTCTTTTGACATCTATTCAGTTCACATATCCATTTTTTCAGTGAATTGTCTTGGGGAGGAGTCTGAAAATTTTTTGAGCTTATATGTTGTAGATATTAATCCTCTAACAGAAGTATAGTTAGTTCTTCAATCTGTTGTTACCTTGATGTATAGAAGCTTTTTAATTTGATGGAACCCCCTTTGTTAATTCTTGAGATTATTTCCTTTGCTTTGAGAGTGCCATTAAGGAAGACTTTGCCTATGATTAAAGCTTCAAGTATTTACCCTATGGTATCTTCTAGCACTTTAAATGTTTCTAAGTTCTTATCTATTTTGACTTTAGTACACAGTAAATAATAGGGATCTAGTTTCAATCTACTACACCATTTATTAAAGCAGCTCTCTTTCCTCCTGCATATGTTTTTGGTCACCTTGCCAAAAATCAGATGCTGGTTAGGTACATAGGTTTCCATGTCTTCTATCCTATTCCACCGGTCTACACATCAGTTTTTATGTGAGTACCATGCTGTTTTTGTAATACGGCTTTACAATATAGACTAAAATCTGGTATTTTGATTCCTATAGCATTGTTGTTTTTGTCAGTGTTGCTTTGGCTATTCTGGAATTTTTTTATTTCATCTGAAACACATCACAGAGTGAAAGCCACTTATAACAAAGACCTATATGACAGTACAAGAGATATCTGAAACAAAAGATCTACGGACCTCAACACAGAAACACAACTACAATGAACAAGCTGAAGCAACAAAGTCTTTCAAAAATATGTAACTCCTGAAAAACTGATCTTACAGATATCAAAGTGGATTAAATTCTAGATAATGAATTTAAAAAGTGAGTCAACATGATCAATGAAACAAAAGAGATGAGTAGGTAGCTGAACAAATCAATTACTATAATAATCAGTTACCTCAAAGAAGATACAAATAAGCAGCTGACTGAACTGTGGAAGAAAATGCCGTATAAGAAAACCTACTTCAGAGAAGAGATAGAAGTTCTAAAAAATAGGGAGGGGTGGAGGGGTTCAAGGGAGGGCAGGGGAATGAGGAAAATATAAGAACCAAGATATATTATGTAAAGGTACAAATTCCCAATAATGAATGTCAGCATATTGTATACCTAAAACATACCAATAAAATGGATGAATTAAAAAAAATAATAAAGCAGAAACCTTGTAAATGAAAACATCAATAAGTGAAATTAAAAACTCAAATGAAAAGTGCAAGGAATACAAAAGATGAATCAGAAGAAATATTATCAGGTCAAGACAGGGTTGGAAGTACTAGACTACTAAGATACAAAAATGTATTCAAATATGATTTGAAAGATTCACAATGTTTATTAGTAATAGTTCAGGAAGCAGCTTTTTAATCTAAATTATATCATTATTTACTCCACTAGAATGGGTCACAGTAAAGCTTTCAAAAACAGTGAGATAAAACTTATTAAAAGATTTTAACATTGAAATTTTATTTTCAATACTGATGAATGAAAAACAGAACCTTTTCTTTTTTATCCTCTAAAAAAGTCGTTGTTAATTTGCTTTTCCCTTATTTGCAAAGAAAACTCAAATGGAAACTATAAAGACTAGAGAAAAAAAACTACTGCAAATTGGTTGATTAGGGTCCTTTTGACTAATAGCATTTCTATCCACAGGACAATAGTATTAAAGGTAGAATCAAATAATGATTTTTATTAATAGATGAATTGGGTCTTTAAGAAAGTTTTATGCCTTAGAAAAAGAAGGCTTGAATATATAAAATTAACAGTCTACTTGTGTCTTGGTCCAGGTTCAAGAAAGAATCTCTAAGTTAGGTGCTCTAAATGACCTAAAGGAAGAACAATTTTTATTTTTATTTTCTGGTATACTGAATAAATGAAGAAATGAATAAAATATCCTGAGAATCACCTCAAATTAAATAACCTTATTTATTTCTATGCAATTCCAAATTACATTTTACTCAAATAAATTACAATTAAGTAAAGAAAAAAATGGTAAAATTTCCATAAGCTTGTATTTTCATCTAAAATTAATAGCTATTGATAAAAATCTGGTACAGGTTAAGATTTACATAAAACTCAGAGGCTTAGACAGACATATTTCATGTAAAATGAATGAACAGATAAGATAGGTGAAATATTCATTTTAAAAGGGTAATTAATTATACAGTAAATTGTACTACTATTACTCTCAATTCAGAAGTTACAACTGTATTTCCTAAGAAGAGGGATTCTTTTCTTCCAGCATATTTTTGTAAATTCTAGACAGCAGGGTGGTATCCCTCTTCCTTTCAACAAAGCATCAACTGGTATGGGAAGGTGGGACAGGTAGCTTCTGAAGTCAAGTAGTTTTAATTTTGAAAATTATACATGTTAGTTCCCGTACCAAAGGGCTGGACTTACTATAGCAATTCATTTCTTGAAATATAAGTAGATACTAAAAGTAAGCTAATATGAAAGAAAACATTACATAAAAATATACCACCACCTGTATTTCTTAAGAAATGCTCGGTCATTTTTGTCACAAATGCTATGTTGATTATGGTACTCTGGAATACATTACAACACAATTGTTAAAAAAGTTTTCATTTTAAAGTTTTCTTCACATATAATTTCTTGGTAGGAGCAAAATAAAGCATATTTTAATCATATCTTTCATAATATATAAATACTTACCACCATTAGGAGAGTATGATCTACTAACTGGAAGATTTGGAACATCTCCTTGATTAATTAGTCTCAAATCTTGTTCTCTCTGTAGCTCCCTGATTATCCCATCAAGAATGCTCTCTTCTTGGTCACTGGTTTGCTGTCCAATTACCTGTTCTACCACCTCCCCATCACCTTAATTATACCAAAGATATAAAGGCACAAAATTGAATACATTTTAGTATACCCTAAAATAGTAAAGATAAAATTAAAATACTCAAAATGAAAATAAAATATATATCAATAAAACATTTTAGAAATAATTTTTTGCCACCACCTGCCTTGCAAGCACAAGGACGCGAGTTTGATCCCCAGTACCAAAACAAAAACAAAGAATTATTATAATGCTTCAATTTGTTAGCTCATGTATTTGATTTAAACAATGCTCCTAAATTAGATATTACATGGAAATATTCTCATCTTAACAAATTACAATGTATTTGTTTTAAAATAAACTTTCTCCATGCTTAACTCAAAAGCTAGTTACCTAAAATCTTTTTCATCTTTCTGTGGTGAAAATTTCTTTCTTAAAAAAAGTAAAAATAAAGTTCTTTCAAATAAACAGTGTCTTTTGAAAAGACACTTGTGTTTGAATAAGAGCTTTTATTTATTTCTTTATTTATTTTTCTGTACTGGGGATAGAACTCAGGACCTTGCGCTTACAAGGCAGACGCCAGCACCAGTGAGCTAAATCTCTAGCCAAGAAAAAATATTTTTGACAAAATTAAATTCAATTTTTACTTTGAATGAAAACTTTATACATCATATCTTCATTTTTAATCTTGTCCCTTAATCAGATCAAATGATATCTGATAATTTAACCATGTGATCAGATGTTATACAGTATAAAATATGACAAATTAGTTTTTTATTCAGATGCTTTCAGTTTTAATATGCAGTTTCTCCTCAGCTCATAAATGACATTATGAAAGTAAAAAACTGGTACATGTGTACTACCAGTTCATCGTTGCACCTTTTTTTTTCATCGTTGCACCTTTTACAAAAGAGAACATATAACTATGTGCAGCATTTCACTCTCTGAAGATCAATTCAAGCCATTAATTTCTAGTAAACAAATAAAATTCCATTTAGGAATCAATAACTCACTACCTCATGCTGTTCTGAAGAAAAGTGCAAAGAATAAAACTGAGATATGAAGGCATTGTATGTGGTAGGAGGAGCAGGGCTAGTATATATAGTGGAAATATACAAATCTAAAGGTAACAGACCAATCTAAGAGACCAATTTGCCTTGATAGAAAATACTTTACTGCAGTACTTTATTCTACTGCTTCCAGCATGCATGACATTAATCCATAGCTTCATCAATATCACCAAGATTGAATGTTAAATACTTATACCCACTTTCCCAAGATACAATAATATTGTATTTCAAACATGAGAATGGGTAAATAACTACTTTCCAATTTGTGGATTCTGATGCTTCCTCTTATTAGTTGGAAGTTGAAGACTAAAATGCCAACATTATGAATATTTGGAATTCCACCAATTATAAAAGCTTCATGTATTACAGATATTTTAATCATTAATAGAAGTAAGTATATGGAACAACAGGATAATATATATTTAAAGGGTTTCTAAGGAAGTGTGTCAACATATTCTCTGCTTGAGTATATGGCTTGTGTTTGTCCTAACCCACTTATCTGTGTCCAGTAGAGAAAAAACAATGAAAAAGTATTCTAAGTACAAGACTGAAAACTAAAAGGAATAGTAAGTAAACATCACAATCTGCTCCAGAGTTAAGTGAAAAGCATACAACATGGAACAACAGAAAGTATCCTATTCTGTAAAATGTTTTAAATTTACTTTTGGAAATAACATACCATTAGCCACATATCCCAGCTGTGGTATAAGTTGTTCATCTTTACAATTTTCCCGTCCTGGTACTAGGCGTTGAAATTTTGTGGGGTGAGGATTTCCATCAACATCCACCAAGAATGGAGGAGGCATGAGGTGAGGAGCTTGCTGGGTTTGTTCATCCAATACATAATTATTGGCATCACGGATAAGAGGTCGATAATCCGTATGGAAAAACATCTGATCTGGAATCTTTAGGACAGAGTTTTTAATATTTAACACATTCAGGTAATTTATATGTTAGGCACTTATCCTCATTCCAAAAACAAGCATATTTTTTTATCTGACAATTCTCGAATTCCCTCTAGTCCTATGTTGACATTCACTCTACCTAGAGAAGCAAATTACCTGGTCATTTTTTTGTTTGTTTGTTTCTGTTTTTTACTGTGTGAGAGACTGAACCCAAGAGCATTCTACCACGGTGTTACATCCCAAGCCCTATGCATTTTTTTTAATTTGAGACAGGGTCTCACAAAGTTGTCCAAACTGAAATCAGACTTGTAATCCTCCTGCATCAGCCTCCAAAGCAAAGGTAAATCATTTTGCTGTAAAATCCTGCAATCTGTATTAGTTTTTGGTCCTATATCTTATTTCTCTAATCATGTTAGGAAGAAGTAAAGCAATAAACTAATAGATATTGTTAGGAAATGTTAATTATTACAAAAACAATACGAATCTGGAGAACTGTTTTTGGCCTCAATGTGCATCCATGTAGCTATAAAATGACTCTAGTTTCTCATTCTTTATGGTTGAGTAGAACTCTTTTATTTTTAAAAACCACATTTTCTTTATCCAGTCTCTAGTTGATGGGCAATTGGGCTGTTTCCAAGTTGAGCATATATCACTGTGGTATGACACTTTTAACACTTTGGGGAAGATACAAAATGGGAATAGCTGGGTAAAATGGGAACTGTAATCCTAATTTTTTTATTGTTTTTTTTTTTTTTGGTACCAGGCATCAAAATTAGGACCTTGCAATTTTAAGGAAGGCAGTGGCACCACTGAGCTAAATTCCCAGCCCTGTAATGCTAGTTTTTTGAGGTACCTCCATATTGATATCCACAGTGGTTTCACAAGTTTGCACTCCCACTAACAATGGAGAAGGGTTCCTTTCTCTCCACAACCCCACCAGCATTTGTTACTGATTTCTTGATAGCAGCTATTCTTTCTGGGGTGAGATATAATCTCACTGTTGTTTTTATCTGCATCTCTCGAATGACCAGTGATGTTGAACATTTTTCATATATTTATTTGCTGCTTTTACTTCTTTGTCTGAGAAATGTCTGTTCATTTTAGATGCCAATTTTTGAATTGGGTTTATAAATTTGGGGGGTCTGACTTTTTATATATTCTAGATAGTAATCCTTTATCTGAGGAAAAGTTAGTACAATGTTTTCCTACATTGTAGGTTGTCCTTATCTCTGTTGGTAGTTTCTCTTGAAGTGCAGAAGCTTTTTTTCTTTTTTTTTTTTCTGAGCACTGTAGTTTATTGTAACTTAGCTATCTGCTAAACTCTCTTTGGTCTTCTCTATAAAATGAGATAGGTTCAAGCAAAAGTAAATATTTTTAACAGGATGAGATCCAGTTGTTGATTCTCTGTTCTAGTTTGCGTGCTACTCGGGTTTTGTCCATAAAGACTCATCCTATGACAAACCTTTCTCCTCCGGCAAGTTTAGTGTTTCTCTTTTAATATTTAGATCTTTTTATCCACTTGGATTTTAGTTTAATGCAAGGTGAAAGATATGGGTCTAATTTTAATCTGCGGCAGGCTGAAATCCAGTTTTTCTATCACCATTTATTAAACAAGCTATCTTTCCTTCAGTGAGGTTGGTTGGCTCCTTTGTTAAAGGAGCTGAGTATGTCTGGAGTTGTGTCTGAATCTTCTAATTTATTCCACTGATCCTTGGGTCTGTTTCTTTGCCAGTACCATTCTGTTTTTATCACAGCGGCTTTCTAGTAGTTTCATGTTGGGGATTTTGTAACCCCTTTCATGTCTCTGTTGCCTAGAATTGCTTTTGCTATTCTAGGTCTCTTCTGGTTCCAAATGAAGTTTTGGATTGTTTTCTCTAGTTCTGTGAAGAGAATATGTTCTCAGCAACAGGATTTCATAAATAAATTTTTATATCTACATCAACATCATCATCATCATCATCTCAATAGTGATGTGCACCACCAAGCCAGATGTTGTGGCAGTGATAAGTGAAACTTTACTGAGAAAGACAATTTTTAATTTTGTATCTATTGACACATAACACCCTTATTAACTCAGAGAGTTGAAAAAAATGTGAATGATACTGTATCAAATTATAGTCTACAACCAAAGTTAAATATACTAACCTTTTCATAGTAATTACTGCATCCAAAACCAAAAAGCAGCAAATGCCCATGAGAATCTGTACAGGCAAAATGGTTTCCATCTGGTGAAAATTTACAATCAAAAACTGCACCATGGCCTTGGCCTTCAATCTGAAATTCAGGAGTCTTTTTAAGTCATTTTCAAATTAATTTTTAAAACAATAATATATAGGTGATAACCTCTCTTTGCTAATATCTTGAATTCTGTGACACATCAACTTTCCAATATACTCTCTGGCTTCTGGAGCTGGAGCTCTATTGAATTTGTAAGCTCAGAGTAAAATTGGGAAGAGTCAATTGTTATGCATGTAATCAATCATTGCTAGCAATGTCATACTTTGTGGAATACTAAATGGGTGAATGAGGATATTTAAAAGACTTAAATGCAACTGAATTGACAGATATTATTTCAGCAAAGTTAAGATATTATCTTCACATCTTAAACTATAATGCAGTAAAGCCTTAAAAATAACTTTTTTTTTTGGCACCACGGATAAAACTCAGGACCTCACACTTGCCAGGCAGGTACTATACTGCTGAGCTACACCCCCAGAAAAATAAATTCTAATTTGAACACACAAATCAATTTTACCAACCAAAAAAATGTTATTATTCTATATAAAGCTTCTAGAAGTAAGCTTAAAAGCCACACAATAGTTTAGAAGTGTTTGGTCAGAGCTACTATTAACAGGACACCAAATAAGGAGAATATTGTTATTTGCATCACCAGAGAATGATGTTCTAGGGGAGAAGAGATATCTCATTAGTGGTTTCCATGATTTATATGAAATGTACCTTAAGAGCATCCATATCTCCAAATCTATTTGCCAACCAACTTTCTGATTACTAACTAAGTCATAAGGGCTAGAAAGAGGCAGCTGCTAGTACTGCAATAACTTTTCTTATTTATAAATTAGGATAACAACTTACACATTACTCTTAATAAATTTAAGTTTAAGGACTTTAGAAGTGAAGACCACAATTGAGGGAATGCTAACCACAATAACAGAGCCACTTTGAAAGACCTAATTCTTAGGTCTTGGGTTATTCTCTAAATTATTTTAGCAATTTAAACATACATGATAAGAGGTTTCTTTGTTCTATGTAGACATCAATTATCTAATTACCATACAAGATATGTCAGTGTTAATATTAACTGAAAACAATTTGTCTTACCATGTTAAAATAATTCCGAATTTTGGTCCCCCGGTCAAGGTCCCAAATAAAAATGTTGCCATCATGACCCGCTGAAAGTAAGATTCTTTGATCAAATGGATGTGCTTCTAAAACAAATACTTCATCATCATGTCCCTGTGATAAAGTTAATATAAAAAAATGAAAAGCAAAAAAAATGAAAAGCAAAATGAAATATCTGGATTTTTGTTCAAATAGTCCTGAAAATGCTATCAATTTCAGATGAATTCAGGCATATTAATTTCAGAGTATACATGCGCTCTACATGAACTTCAGTTGGATTTCTTCAAAAGTACAACTGTTGATTTTACAAATTATGCAACAGATATAACACCCAGAAAGATGTTTAGAGCTCATTATATAGCCCCTTGAAGTACAATTTCGAGTTCTAGCATTCTGTTATTTAAAAAGCCAGAAAAAGTGAGAAACAGAATCTTTCTATAAAATTCAATCCTGCCAGTCATAAGAGACAAACCATTGTTCTTCAATATTCTCTACTATTGGTATCCAAATTCTATTTGGCTAACTTCTTGACACATTAAAAGAAAGCACAGACATGCTGCTTTAAATATTTGGGGGCTGGGGATTTCGCTCAGAGGTTCTGCTGCTTGCCTTGCAAACACAAGGTCCCGTGTTCAATCCCTGATACCAACAAAACAAAACAAAACAAAAAACCAATGAAGAAAAAAAGAGAAAGAAATCCCCTCCAAAATCCCTCCATGCTTTTGAAAATGTGGGTTCTTGCCAGGATTTACAACATTGGAATCCTCAGGTATAGGAGAAGGAATAGTGAGTCACTAGTAAGACCTACTTAGTTTCCATGCTCATGCTTTTGTGTGTGAATACTGAATCTTGCACCACCTCTCCCATAACACATTATCTGAAAAATAGATTTGCTGCTAAGAAAATTAATTTAAAAACCTATATGAAATTATATGCTTTATTTTCAATAAATGAATACACATCCACATGTAGAGGCCAGAGGCCAGGAGATATCAAGCAAAATGGCTCCAGGACAAGATTGATACAGAGCTTGTGAAGCTAAGAATGTGTTTTAATTTATTTAAAGGATTTAAAACCAACATATGACACAAAACAAAATAGTAAAGATTATACAACAAAAAAAAACCTTCAAAAATTTAGAACCTCAAAAATAAAAAAAAAATCAAAACATGGGCAACTGAAATGAATTAACATTTCTCAAAAGAAATACAAACAGCCAATGTATACATGAAAAAGTGTTTGGCATCTTCGGCCACTACAGAATTGCAATCAAAACAATGCTGATATTTCATTTACTCAAGAGAGAATGACTATCACCAAGAACACAAAAACCAACACATGGCTGGGCTTGGTGGCGCACACATGTAATCCCAGCACTCCGGAGGCTGAGGCAGGAGGATCACTCTGAGTATGAGTCCAGCCTGGGCTACATAGTGAGTTCTAGGTCAGTTTCAACTACACAGTGAGACCCAGTCTCAAAACAAAAAAAAAACAAACAAACAAAACCCAACAAATGCTGGCAAGTCTGTGAGGCAAAAGAAATCATTCTACATTGTTGGTAGGAATGTAATCTAGCAGAACCACTAAAGAAATCGGTATGGAGATTCCATTTGACCCACCTATAATTCTGCTGGATATCTTTCCAAAACAGTTTATATTAACATGCATACCCATATTTATATCAGGAAAAACTGTAATAGATAAATCTTGAAAGTAGCTTATATACCTATCAACAGATGAATGGATAAGAAAACTGATATATCTATATGTAAAACTAAGTACTACTCAATCACGAAGGATAAATTTGAGTCATCTATTAGAAAATAGATGTAACTTGAAAGCATAATGCTAAGTGAAATCAGACACAGAAGGTTAAATATCACATGGTTTCTCTTTTATGAGAAACCCAAAATATAAATAATTTAAGGAGCAAAATAAAAGACAGATGATGATAGGAAACAGGGAAGATAGACTTTGGAGATGGGAAAGGGGTAAGGGAATAAGAGGAGATGGGAGGGACAGAGAAGAAAGGGAAGTAAAAGGGGTTAAGATACTCTATGTGTATGTACCAATTTCCCAGATTAATGCACTCATTATACATTGCAAACATATACTAAAGAAAAAAATAACATTTAAAAAAACAGAAATGAAATAGAGAGTATCCTACCATGTTACCATTAGCACAAAAATAAGACCTATTTTAAAAAGAAACACAGATTGGGCTTGGGATTTTCTCAGTGTTGCTGCTGCCTGCCTCTCAAGTGCTCAAGGTCCTGAGTTTGAGACCCAGTTTAAAAACAAAACAAAACAAACAAAAAAAAACCCTTTTACATAAAAAAAAAACTGCAGACTGGCTCAAAATTAGTGTTAAGATGAGTAGGTAAAATCTTACTGCAATAAATATCATAGCTACTCAAATGTTACAAAAACATCTTCCCACTGACTAATGAAAAACTGCTTTCTATGCCATAACATAACAAAGTCCCTTGCTCAATAATCAGTTTGGTATAGCAAATATTTTGATTCCTAACCAGTAAAACATAAAGTTACTCTGTTAACTCAAATGACAATGACACAAGTATTCGTGTACATTGGGGGGAAAAGTCTTTTAAATAAAAATTTCCATCATGTTCACATGCCTTAGGACAGTCACTGAATCAAGGGAAATAAAAGCTAGTCAAAATCAGACTATCTTAAAATTTGTCACCTGCCATATTTATATTTATTAGTCACACTTCTTTGTTTTTTGTTTTGTTTTGTTTTGTTTTGTTTTTTTTGGTACTGCGGATTGAATTCGGGACTTTGCTCTTGTGAGGCAGGCAGCGGCACCACTGAGCTAAATCCCCGATCCTATTATTCATACTTATATTTACCACCATCATACAAATCCAAATTATTAGTATGCCTCATCTTGGCTATTACCACAGACTCTAACAATCTATCTGCACTTACTCTTACCTATCCCAAATTCCTCTCTCTACTGTAGTCAAAATTGCTAAATTTTTAAAATACAAAATTGTATTAAAAAATAAACAAATCAAAATAAATCATAGTTTTTTTTGTTTTTGCTTTTTTGCTTTAAATCATTTAATGGTTTGCTCCAGGTCATAGAATACAACCTAGAAGGTCTGAATAGTCTGGCTCTTATCTACTTCTCCAGTCTTATCTGCTGAAACTTTCTGTTCTTTGTCCTATGGCCAAATTGTCTTTCTTTCACCTCCCTCCACCCTCAGGACCTTTGCACATCCAGTTTGTATTCCTAGAAGCACCTTTCAATTCCCTCAATTATATAATTTCCCCAAGTATACACTGATGACCTACCATGTAAAAACTACAAGTAAATAAAGAAACAAGAAAATGTAACAGGAAAATATTAGGTGGTGAAAGAAAGTGATGCAAAAAAAGCAAGATGTTGTATTAAAACAAAGATCAGCCGGCTATCTTGTATCATTTGATAAGGGAAAACCTAATCAAGGAGGTGACTTAAATTATGACCTGGGAAATTTTTTATTTATCTTTCAAATTTTAACACAAACTTCACTTCCTCAGGAAGCTGTCTTTAACTTTTTCAGATCATAGTCGTCACCTGTCAGAAGCTTATCATCATTTTCTTTTCCTTTTTTTTTTGAACTGGGTATTGAACTTGGGACCTTGCATTTGCAAGGCAGGCATGGTGCCACTGAGCTAAATCCCAAGCCCTATGGGTTAGAAGTGTATATTGATGTAACTTGTACTTTCATTCTTAAAACTTATTTCATTAAAAGTTTGATTCTCAAAAAACATTTGCTATATAGAATATCTTTACACACTACTAAGACACTCATACCTAAATTGTTACAACTGAAATATAAGAACTATACCAAAACTAAATAGATTTGTCTACTACAATGATTAAATACTTGTTCTAAATTTTAATTAAAATTTAGTGGAAACAGAAAATCCAAGAGTCAGCCATTTGGAAGAGCACCACTATGACTCTAAATTAAGGAACTTATTAAGACAAAATTTTATACAGATTTAAAACCAATATGTATTAATGCCCTTGAAATTGTGACTCTTAGAGATAGAGACCTGCATTGTCTAATAGTAATTCCTATTAGCCACATGTGACTAATTAAGCATTTGAAAAGTGGCTAGATCAAAGTCAGAGGTTCTGTAAGTGTAAAATATATAGCACATTTCAAAGACAGCATGAAAAAAGTCAAAATGTTTAATAATTTCTATATTAACTACATGTTCCCATGCTAGGATTTTAGATAGATCAGGTTAAACTATTAAACTTAGATTTTATTTGTTCATCATCACTAGAAAAATTAATATTATGTATGTGGGTTTATTTCCACTGGAGTGTGTTGTTGTAGACAAATATTTTCTAATAGTCAAAGAATAGTACATGCTTCTTCAAGCAAGTTAAAAGAAAACTGTATTATGAAATAAGGAAAATCAGAATGAGAAACGCATTAGCTCAAGAGATAAAAGAATCTAAAACTTCACTAACAGAGTTAGGGTTTTCTGTAAGTATAGGAAAAATAAATTCAAAAATCTCCTCAAACTAAACAAATATTTAGAAATCTCATGAGCCTTAGGCTAAGATTATCTCTACAAAGATGACATCATGATATACTACAAAGAAAATTGAGTTAAATTTTTATTCTGAATCCTATCTGTATCAACCATATGATAAACACTTAGCTTTGTCTTGAAATGCTTATGAAATGATAATTGAATCAGATAGGAAATAAAGGTAAATGGAATACAATCTGGAGCCAATTAATATCTAGTTAAAGTGACAAACATCAACACTACGCACAATTATATCAATCCTATCAACTTTTCAGAGGACAAACATTGCAGTCTTTTACTAAGACAAATACATTTCAAAAAGAAAATGTATCTTTTTTCTACTTCTTCTTACCTCTACTTCTTATAAGAACTAATCATTAAAGGTAAAAATACAAAATATCCCTAAAACATTAACAATGAGAAATCCTAACACTTGCTAAAAACAAATTAACATATTCTTTTTTCCATTAAGTTTATTGGTACATTTTAGATATACAGAATAATGACATTCATCGTCGGAAATTTGCACCTTTACATAATCCATCTTGGTTCTTATTTTTCTGCATTCACCTGCACTCCCTTCAACCCCTCCACTCCTCCTTATTTACAAAGACTTTATTTCCATTTTTTCATATTAATTCCATTCCCTTCTTTGCTTTCCCCAAACATCCCACTTCCCATTCCCCTTTGGACCTTTTCTTCCTATTTCACATTATCAATTATACATTTTGATCCTTATCTATTTTCGACTGCATACTGAAATAGATGAATAAATACTGGATTAGACTTAGAAATGATCTTGAAAATATTTGGTATCTGCTTTTCGTGATATATTTTATGTTAGTACTATTTTGCAGAAATGGAACTCAAATAATTCTCCAAAAACTAGTAAGTCATAGATAGGAAATTCAAATTTGAATTTTATGTCTCCTGGCATAATGTGCTTTTCAATCTTTGTGTGTGTGTGTGTTGAGTATGGTGGTCTAGAACCTCTGGGCTCAAGAGATCCTCACATCTCAGATTCCGGAGTGCTAGGACTACAGGCACATGCCACTACACCACAGTACATCCAGCATAAGATAATTGTTTCCTTTTTTTGCAATGCTGTGGATCAAACTCAAGGCCTCATGCATGCTAGGTAAGGCCTCAAGGATACTACCACTATACTTACAGTACTTGACCATTTTAATAACTCTAAAAATTAATACTTACAGATAAAGAATGAAGAAGCTGCCCTGTGAAAGAATTCCAAACTTTCAAGAGGAAATTGTTCACTGCAGTAATAACTGTAGTGTCATAGCGATCCCAGGCTACCATAGTCACCTTTAGTTTAGTGACTTTGTCTTCTCCAGATGGCACATTATTCCTAAAGAAAACAATTTGCAGTATTTATACTTCCCAAATTTTTTAAACTGGTACATACAAAATAGCAAATTATGCTCTAATTATTTCAAGAAACTGGAACTGTTAGATGAAAAAATACTAAACTATACATTTAAGCATGCAAGACATTGAAAAATGAACATGCATGGGACAAAACCCATGAGTTTATTTCTGCAAGTAAAAAGACCTCAATATGACAAAAATGTGGTATGTAAATAGTTACTTGAAAATACCAAAATAAATAAATAAACAAACAAACCTAGAAAGAAATCTACAAATACCTTGAAAAATAAAATACAAGGCTATGTTGGTTATCAGAAAATATGAAAATGTATAATAGCTGCTCTACTTCCTTAAATGTTAATTTTTCAAAAGCTAGTATTATAAAAGGAAATATAAAAAATAGGAAAATCAGTAAGTATTAACTGAATATAACATTAATGACAATTGGCTATGACTACCAAGTCACTTCTACATTGTTATTAGTAAGAAAATAATGGAAAGATCAAACCTAAAAAATTATATTATCAAAGAGATAACTATATCCCTTTTAATCAACAGTGAAGATGACAAAACAAGATGATGTTTAAATTTATATACAATGCTCAATAGGGATGCTAACAAAATAAAATAAAGGAATTCTCAGTAAAACTAAACAAAGGAAGCCAGGCATGGTGGCTCACGCCTGTAATCCCAGCACTCAGGAGGCTGAGGCAGGAGGATCACTGTGAGTTTGAGACCAGCCTGGGCTACATAGTGAGTTCCAGGTCAGTCTCAACTACATAATAAGACCCTGTCTCAAAAAAAAAACCTAAAGAAAGTTTAAACATTAATAATATTTAATAGGGACAATCCTCAAAGTCAAAAGTAGTACAGAAAGATAGAAAACGTGACCCCTGGAAAATTAAGGTGAAGAATGACTATATGAGAATCAGTAAACACAGATCTTAGGGTCACAATAAGGTAGAATTTTAGCAATCAACAGCAAAACATACTTAAAGACTTCACATGTATCAATTAACTTCAACTCCTTACTAATGTAAAAAGTTATTTTGTTTATTATTCAATATAATTCAATGTAAAAAGATAATGTATCATACGTGAACCACTGAAATATCTAATATCCATTCTTACCTACTCATTTTAGTAGCCATATCTAGCACTATACTCTTCCATTCTTGTTGCTCATATTGCCAAATTCTTGCTGTTCCATCTCTGCTTCCACTAACAAATCTTAAACTACAAAGAAAAATTTAAAAATCATCTTGGTTACTTTTTCTAAAATGAGAATCATTGTTTTTATTATAAAAGTAATATGTTCACCCTCATACACTACTGGGGAGAATGTAAGATGATGCAATCACTTTGGAAAACAGTTTAGTAGTTCCTCAAAAAGCAAAACATAAATTTACCACATGACCCAGCAATTACATTCTCAGGTACATACTCAAAGGCAATAAAAACATAAATACACAGAAAAATATGTGCATTAATATTCATGGCAGATTGTTCATCATTAGCCAAAAAGTAGAAACAACTCAAATGTCTATTAATAAATGGAGAAACTATAGTTTTATAGCCACACAATGGAATATTATTCTGTAATTACAAAAATTGAAATAATGATACACATTGCAGTATCTATGGATCCTGAATATATATAATTATAAAGACAAAAAGTAGACTAATGGTTTCCCAGAGCTGGAAAAAGAGGGAATGAAGGATGGGAGAGTTAATAATTGAAGGGTATAGGCCAGTGGTGGGAACCTATGGTATGAATGCTGTAGCAGGCTGTATGTATCACTGAAAGCTCTAAAAAGGTTTACTAACACTGGTACAGGCTTTAAAGAGTGATGAAAATGTTCTCAAGTTAACTGTAATGGTTGGATAACCCCCAAAATATACTAAAAGCTATTTCATTTTATGTAAATTATATATCAATAACGGCATTATATAAAAATATACCCATTGGGCCAGGGGATTTAGCCCAGTGGTTCTGCTGCCTGCCTCACAAGCACAAGGTCGAGTTCAATCCCCGATAGCCCCCCACCCAAAAAGTATCCATTGATTGATCCAGAATTTTGTCACTATCTAGTTTCTATTCCTTCAGTCTTAAATACATTCATATATATCAAATATGTACTTATATATTTTCCCCTAAAGGAAATAGAATTATATCACATATAATGTTTTTCCCTGGGGATCTATTGCTATGGGGTACAAGCACAAAAGTATCATCACCTTTGATAAGTTTTCAACTATATGGATAATCATAATTTATTTACTCCATCCCCCAATCACTAATAAGTATATAGTTTCCAGCCTTCAACCTTACAAATAATGCTGTGATGAACTTCTCTACACTTGTCTTTTTACAATCCAATACATAACTTTCGAGTAACAGTAGGCAGATTTTTTTTAAGCTTTTGATACATACTGCCAAATCGTGTTTCCCTTACAATTTTTTTATTTAAATGATTTATAATCTCATGAAAAAGTGTCATTCTGAAAGAGTCATTGTGAAAGAAATAATGTTATTTTAATTTATTACTTAATTTCTCTGACATCTTTGTATGAGTATGAGCTATATGTATAACAGAAATGAAAAATACAAAAACTTTCAAGCATGAACAAAAAGAATCATCATCTATATCCCCACCTTACAAAGAAATCTAATGTTAGTACTTTGGTATTTCACACACACACACACACACACACATTACATAGTTTGAAGGTTTCATATGCTTTTTAAATTTTTTCATATAAATTTTTCATATTTACATTTTTGTATATTGAAAATAAATGTTCTTGAAACACACATTTACAAATACAACCAGTTATCTAAGGGAATACTTTAGCAGAAATGAAATTTATGTTGAATTCTAAAATATTTAGGGTTATTTTATCCTTTATATGCATGACTGATCCAGTTTATTTTGTTCATTTGTGCAGTGTATGGTTGTGTTTAAATTAGTCTTACTGCGATGTGTAAATTGGCCACAAAAATAATTAAGAAAATGTTTCTCCTTAAATTCCTATTCTTTTAGTATGAAAAATAGCAGCCATAGAAATCTTGAAGTATATAATTCAATACAGTTAAGTCAATCTTAAAATTGACTTGAACATTTTATCATTCTAAATACAGATATTATTTTGTAATTTGGTTTAAATTAGTCTTACTGCGATGTGTAAATTGGCCACAAAAATAATTAAGAAAATGTTTCTCCTTAAATTCCTATTCTTTTAGTATGAAAAATAGCAGCCATAGAAATCTTGAAGTATATAATTCAATACAGTTAAGTCAATCTTAAAATTGACTTGAACATTTTATCATTCTAAATACAGATATTATTTTGTAATTTGTTTCACTCTTGCCACTCTTCCATCTAATAAAGCTGAAAATTTCATCATTGTAACCACTCACAGAACAATACATAGTTAAAATAAAACAGTCACCAACATAAAGTCCTTATACATTACAGAATCAAACTGAAACTTAGTAGTTAAAATTTTAAATGCATTCTGGGTCAAAATTTAGAACAGGAAAAACTATCAGCCTTTATGGGGTCAGACATTTTAGAGGGCTCATAGCTATCTGTATATAATTTCTGAATTTATACATATAGGAAATATAAATCATATGAATACTAGAGAAAATTAATGCAAATATTCAAAGGAAGTCAAGATATATAAAGCTGTAACACTCAGCAAAGGCTTCAATATGGTATGAACCTTAAAAAGAAGACAGGACTTAGAGAAAAGGGAATAAAAGAACAGAGAAAACAAAAGGAGAAGAGAGAGGTAAGACAGAAGAGAATGGAAAAGTGTGTAGGGGAATGATATGCTTAAGTAAAGGAATGGATGAGCTAGACAGGTATGTGTCAGTGTATGTAAAGCCCTTAATTTGATCCCTAGCACTGACTGAAATAATCTTTTAAGGAATGGATGAAATAATATACATGGGATATGACCAGAACAACACACATATCAATTAGACTTAGATTGATGAAATGATGAATTGGTAGGAGATGGGAAAAGAATGTAAGTTTCAACTGTCAAGATATTTGAATGCCAGGTTTAAAAATTTGACACAGAAAAAAAAACAATAAAGATTTCTGAACACAACAGTGTTGATCAGGCAGAGATACACAGTTCAAACAATGGCATTATTGACTAAGGTGGGTGGTAAAAGAAATTGAACAAATAAAATAGACAAAAATAGTATTCTGTAAGGAAGAACATAGCATATGGTTGCCACTTGGTTGAGAGTTTAGAAGGGATGGGTAAAAATGTCATGAAAGACAGACAAGTGTTTTGAATTTACATGAATACACAAAAATAAGATAACTACAGTATAGGCAGTCAGGTCCAAGGAAACAGTAGAAAAACTTCAAACATCTGTTTACATAAATATGTATGACATAATTACCTGTCTCCATTGTTACAAAACTGAACAGCAACAACTTTGTCCTAAGACATAAAATAACAAATTTTGGTTAAAATGAACATATTTGTAAAATAAGTAAAGCATTTTTCCCCTCAAACTCACATGCAAAAGCGCCATGGAGTAGATTTTTTTTTAAAATACTGGGGATGGAACTCAGGAACTTGTGCTTATGAGGCAGGCAGCAGTACCACTGAGCTAAATCCCCAGCCCATGGAATAGATTTTTTAATATATAATTTTCTTTTAAAGCCTACACTTGGACTGGGAATTTAGCTCAGTGGTTCCAGTACCTGCCTCACAAACAAGGACCCAGGTTTGATCCCTGGTACAAAAAAAAAAAAAACCTATATCCTTCTAAAGAGAATAATCAATGAGGTCTTAAAAATGCATTAACTAAGGAGGTAATAAATTGAAATAAACCAGACAAGCAAATATACATATCCATTTCTCGAGGAATACAATTCTGAATAGACACTAGTTTATTATATATTCATAATAGTGCAACAGTCTAAGATACAACCTTAAAATAACTTATTGAATGAATAACAGTTAAATGAAATTTCCCACTTAATTTTAGTTAATTTCAGAAAATAATTCATGTTTATCACTTGACTTATTTTTAATTAGAATCATGTAACATTTTTGTGATACTATAACTTAGATACTTCTATTTCAAATTTTATGTGCATCAGTGATGACAAAATTAAAGGCTAAATCACAATTTTCATGTTGCTTTATGCTTTGATAGTAAAGTTAGAATGCATTTTCAAATGTGCATAATTTCTCAAAACACCCAGTTATAGAATTCCATTTGAACTTAAATTTAGTAAAAAACTAATAACAAATGTCCTTATATTTATTTTTATTTTTACCATTATTAAACTGTCTTCCTATGTTCACAGAACTCTGTAGTTTATACCATTTTGTGATTTCACTGTTATTTATCTGTTAAGAATCTGAGTTCTCGGAAGGGAGGGCAGAGACAGGGGATAAAATGATAACCAAGACCTGTCATGTAAAGGTACAAGATCCCAATGATGAATGTAACTGTACTGTATACCTAAAATGTACCAATAAACTCAATGAGAAAAAAAAGAATCTGAGTTCTCCCTGCCAACTGCAATTATTGATTTTAGATGTTCTGAAAGAATATATTAATGAGTGACTCAAAGCCATCACTGATTCCAACAGAGTGTATTTACTTTTATAAAATTTTCTTCTTAGCTTGACTCCCTATAAATAAAACTGGGTCAAAATTCTTTTCATAATTTCATTCTAAATTCTTCCTCATTTACCTATTCTTTCCTCTCCTATTTCTCAATAAACTTCACTGCACTTGTATATGCACTATAGTTGGGTAACAACTGCAAGAATATCTCCTTGGCATATTCAAGTACAAATGGATTTTCTCTATCAATGGTCTCAGTCTCAGTCCTTCAAATATTTCCTAAGCTTTTCTCTTTCACAACTTAAATATTATAGGACTTTAGTATGTAGGAATAAGGGACAGTAAGATGAAAGCTGGATTCATTATGTGCTTCAAAGGAAGATGTTCAATTATGTTTGCATATTAGAAAAAATGCAAAAGACTCCAAAAGCTCCCAGAAGATTTCTTTCTTATTATTAATTTTTCTTTTTTGTTCTGTTTAGTTTTTGAAAAAAGTTCTCACAGTGTAGTCTGGACTGGCTTCAATATCACACTTCTCCTGTCTGCGACTGCCAAATGCCAGAATTACAGGCATTTGTCACTGCACCTAGGTACAGAAGGTTTAGAACAGGGGTCTATTTAACTACAAATATCAGGAACATGGTGGATTTTGCAACTCATAATTCATTTTTAAGTCATCTTTAAGAGAATTTGCATGCTTGATACTGATGTACACTAATATTATTGCAAATGAGGTATACAATGAAATACAAAAAGTAACATTAAGATTTGCAGAGCTCAGTGTTGTTTTTTTCTTGTTGTTGCTTTTTTGGTACCAGAGATCGAACTGAGGCCCTTGCACTTCTGAGACAGGTGGCAGAAACACTGAGCTAAATTCTCGGCCCTAAGCTGAGTGTTTTCTATTGCTTATAAAACAGCTTAAGCACATGAGATGAATATTGAATTGAAACACAAACATTCCCATAATCCATAGTAAATAATTATTTTAAAGGAAGGGAAGAGAAGTAAGAGATGCATGAAAATTATTCAAGGCCTATGACTTAACTCCACAGAGAAGCCCAGCCACTTCTTGCAACTTGCCAGGAGGCCCGCCCCTTTGACCCCACACCACAGGGATGCCAATGTAGTGGTGTTCCTGTCCCCCAAACCATGAACAAGAGAAAGAAAGCCTCTCTAAGGCTCCTAGATGAAAGTTGAAGCCCATTGGAAAAGTGAAGAAAATCTCTGCGATAAAGGCACACTATACCACCATAGTAGGTAAATCAGAGGGACCAGCACCTCACATCAGAAACAGATCTAACTTTAGGGGAAAGACAGCTGGAACCTGCAGTAGAATCTTGTAGAGTTCAACCCAGCAGGATGTCAGCAATCTCAATTTGGACCTTGCAGCCAAAAATCAGCCTGCACCTCAGGGGATACCAGCTGGCTTGCTGAGACTAATTAGCTAAGACCTGCACATGCCTGCCCAAGCTGTCTATTGTATCAAGCCTGAAGGAGGCCCTCTGTTTCTATTTGTATTTTTTTATTTTCAAGCTACCTTTTTTCACTTATCTTTAATCATTTAAAATATTTTTATCTATCTTCCCCTTGTGCTCCATTACTCTCCCTTTTTGTACCTGTTCCTATCCTAATTAGAATTTATTTTCTCTCTTTTCCATTTTTTTTCTTTTTTTCCTTCTCTCAATTGCCATGAGTTTTAAAAGAACGCAATTACAGCCGATAGCCTCCCTATTGCTATTAGCTTGCTTTGTTCTTGGGAATATTTTGTTCTGCTTTTTTCCTCTTCTCTTCAACATCTCCCTAGAATTTGTGCACTGTCCTGTGTCCTCTGACATCACTTCTAACCTTTCTCTATTCTATCTATCCCTCCCTCCCCAACTCCTTCTAAACCCCAACCTGAAGAGTAAAGTTGCTATATTGAAGTTTATTCACTATAAACATATTTTGGGCTGGTACTCAATTTTTATTACATTCACATGGTTAAAGGAGATAGATCAATAACTACCACAAATTGTCATTTTCTAAGCTGTGCTTGCTGCTATTGTGTTGCTGATTGTATCACTTGGGCTAAGGTGTTGTGATTGACCTAATCAGTTGTCCTCACTGGTATAATGAAAATGAGTTTGCCTCAGAGACATTAGAGACTCAAAACCTAAAGACCAGCTATTTCTGGAAGATGGGAGTATTAAATGATGAATTAAACCAAGGACAATACCAACGCCAAAAATAGAAATGAGGTGGCATTTGCACATGACACAAACACAGACTTCCACCCCACCAAAGGTAAACTGTGGGAGAAATGAGGTGGAAAAGTCTGACAGTCAAATATCTGGTCACCCTGAACTGATACCACTGGAAGGAAAAACAAAACAACAACAAAACACAGAAGAATGAGGCTCTAGAAAAATTCAGAACAGAAACAATTTCCAAGATAACCACAGAGATAGTGAGAAGAATGAAAGATATGATTGGAGATTCTGGAACAGAAACAGATAAACAAAGAGATGAGCTCAGGACCATGATGTAATCCATGAATGCTAAGGATAAAAAGAAATGGAATCCATGAAACAGATTCAAACAGATATACAGAAGATAAAAAACTCTACAGAAAGCATTCACAGCAGGATGATTGAATGTGAAGATATAATTGCAGATGTAGATGACAGGATTGCAGTCAGTAACGATGAAAAGAGAGATCTCTTAAAAACAGTAAGGGACCATGAGAAATCAATCCAACAATTCTTAGATGATGCAAAAAAAAAAAAAAAAAAAGAAAGAAACAGGACTGATAGGAATCCATGAAGTAGCAGGAGAAAGTACAAATGATATGAAAACAAAAAACTGTTAACAGAGTTAAAGACAGACAACTTCCCAAACAGAGGGGAAGAATTTGACATACAGAAAAGTAAGGTATATAGGACTCCAACTACCATGATCAAAAAAATCTATACCTAAACATATAATAATCAAGATCCCAGAAATGCAACAGAAGAACAAACTACTACAAGTGGTTAGAGAAAAAAAAAAATCACATTCAAAGGAAAGCCCATTAGAATCACAGCAGACTTTTCAACACAAACCCTAAAGTCAAGGAGAGCTTGGGGTGAGATATTTTAAGTCTGAAAAGAAAACACCTTCCAACTTATGCTGATGTATCCTGCAAAACTATCTCTCAAAATTGATGGGGAAATAAGATACTTCCACAACAAAGAACATCTGAGAAACTACATGAATACCAAACCAGCACTACAAATAATTCTAAATAATATCCTAGAAAAAGACACAATTTCACAAGGCCCAACAGACCAAATCCAGCAGAATCTTCATGAACACCAAACCAGCACTCCAAAAACTTATAAGCAATATCCCAGAAAAAGAAAATGAAGACCTCAACTCCATTAGGGCCAACAAAGCAAATATACTAGGCAAGGTAAGAAATTATAGGGAGAATGGAAAAATAAAAAACAAAAGAACCAACAACAGGAAAATAATGTAACAATGAAAAGCCAATACATGTCAATTATAACTATCAACGTTAATAGCCTCAATTCACCAATCAAAGAAACAGGCTGGCAGAATGGATCAAAAAGCAAAATCCAACAATATGCTGTATACAAGAAACCCACTTAATCCACAAAGAAACTCAAATGAAGAGTAAAAGGATGGAAAACTGTTCTCCATGTGACAGGAGCCCAGAAAAAAGTGGAGTTAGCTAACTTATTTGCAGACAGAGTAGATTTCAAAGCAAAACTAATTGAGAGAAAGAAGTCCACTACATCCTTGTAAAGGGAAAATACAAGAGGAAGAAATAACAATCATAAATATATATGCACCACATACTAATGCCCCCAACAAT